CTTATTAACTATATTAATCTTTTATATTAATAATTTTCTTTTATATTAAAAGTTTTAATTAATAGTTAATATCTTTATATTTTATAGATATTTATCTTTAAAAAGATAATATCTTTTAACTAGTATTATATATAATTTAATAGTCTTATTTCTATAATATTTATTATTATAAACTTTTTATAGTTTTCTTTAAATATTATATTAATATAGTTATAATAATAAAGAAAGAGAAAAAAGTTAATATAAAATACTAGTAGTAACATTATATTAAGGTTAGTAGGAAAAGAAAATAGATTTTCTATCTTAGTTACTCTTTTTAGGTACTTTAGTTTATATAGGGTATTAAATTAAGGTACCTAAAAAGTACTGTGGCGGGGTACGTCACCTAAGGCTCGTCCGGCTAGCAAGACGCTCTCGAATAGCACTACTTATAATCATTGGTTCGCTTAATTTCGCATTACCGAGCATACCTACGCGGGAGGGGGGGTTTTCTAGACATGCCCTATGTGATGTTGTAAGATGCGCTGCCAGGCCTCAAAAAGTCCTAACAGGTAATAAGAAGCCTAACAGGCAACAAGAAGCCTGATAGGCAACAAGAAACCTGACAGGCAATAAGAAACCTAACAGGCAATTATCTAGCTAGCGAAATAGCTGTTATTTTTTTCTTCCCTTACTTTTTACCCCCCTCCTTCCTCACTTCTACACACACACACACACACACATAGCCTTTAACGCACACACAAATAGCCCTCTAACGAAGCTTCTATCTAGCCACGTAGGCATATAGATAAAGGCTAGGTAGAAGCTTCGTTAGAGGGCTGTTTATATGTGCGTTAAAGGCTATGTGTGTAATGTAGCTAACACTAGCAGCTAGCTAACGCTAACGCCAGCAGCTAGCTAACGCTAACGCTAGTAGCTAGCTAACACTAACGCTAGTAGCTAACGCTATTACTATTAAAGGCAGCTGAAAGAAGCCTCTAACACACACATAGCCTGCCTATCTATCTATATATATGCTGGAGGCTTCTTTTAGCTACCTTAATTATGGCGATGGCGATGGCGTTAGCTGGTTGCTAGTGTTAGCGTTAGCGTTAGCGTTAGTGTTAGCTATATCGAAGGTACCTTAAGGGGAAGAGGAGGGGGAGGGGGGTGTAGATAGGAGAGTAAAAAAAAAAAGGAATAGTAAGAATCTACTCTAATAGGATTTTAATCCTAATATGATTTCCTTCTTAACATCTATTAGTCATCAACCTAGATTTTAAATTCATGTAGACAGAATGTTAGCTAGGCCAGGCTAGCAGCCACTACAAGGCCACACAGGGCATGTCCAGAAGCCCCCCCCTCCCGCGTAGGTAGTTCTATAACTAGTGCTATCTGCTCCTCCTTCCTGTACTAAGCAGCGTTGAAATTTCTTAAATGAATTTTGGCATATTATGTACTATGTGAGTGCTAGAAAGGTGAGAAAACGCCATCTGCCCGAATACCCGTTGCGGGACAAGGCCGCCTACTACTCACAGCCACCCCCACCCTAATCCTCATTCCAAACGTCTTTGCTTTCTTGTTCCACGGCACGCATTGCCACAGCAACTTTTTCCAACGTCGAGACTACGTCAATGACGCCCGCTTTGACGCGTTGGAAGTACTCATCATTTGCTTCGCGCCGTTTCCTGGCCAACAATATGTCTGCTTCTGTCTCTTCTTCCAACTTGGCTCCCAGTCGTTCCACATCAGCACCCTCGCTGAATGGCCGCGGCACACCAGCATTCGCATTGCTCTTATGAGGCTCGGCCTCGCTAGCAACTGGCTTAGTGGTGTCCGCAAGCGAAATTTTCGCGCTCCGGAGATCATCACCGACATCTGGGCTCACTTCTTGACGGGAGACAATCTCTGTCGAGCCATCTGCTTCGCTGCGGGCCCACGCCTGCGCCAGTGCAATTTGGGCTGCCCGTAGCTCTGCCAATTTGATATCATGTGAGCGACCAAACACATGAGTACCAGCAGAGGCAGACAGCTCGACTTCTTCAAGTGTTGCTTGCATCTCCGCCCAAAGGGCATCTGTCCGATCTGCCGTGCGGCCGCTATCCGCCGTCTTTGGCGCACGACCGGCCCTCTGCTGATCTGCATGCCATATCGAAGCGCTGCTATCATATGACGAGCGCTCTCGCCTGATACTGGCTGGTCCTGGGTTGGCGGAGCCAGGGGCTAGGATCTCAGGCAAAGTTACATGGGATGCTCCTGGAGATGGATGAAGAAACAAAGACGGAGGCGGATCTCTCTGCTTGCTCTTGGTTCTCGAAAGAGACATAGTGACATTGTGCGCGTGCAGCATTGAGTAAACACCTACCTGATAGCATAGTTATTCCCGGGGCCTAACTATGTAGTCAGCACTGCTTACCCAAGCAGCGAAAAGGTGGAGTACTAAAGACCGTGTCCCCTTCCTCACCTAATCTCGGGTGTGACGCGACTGTCACGTGATGTAGCCCACCAATCCTGAGTGCGTCCTAGGGCCGAAAACCCTACAATGGATTTCTGGCGGGACTTCGATCCAATTCTTCGTCAGCTTCGCAGGCAGTCACATCACCATTCGTTGCGCGATACCCATCTAATTCGGTACGTGCAATTCACCTCGAGCACCTCGCCAAACTCTTCGATATTTCGAATACGTCCGACTAACCTAACGAAGCAATCATGGCTGGAGGCAAACCCCGTGGTCTTAACGCCGCTAGAAAGCTGCGAACGAATCGCAAGGACCAGAAATGGGCCGACCTTCACTATAAAAAGCGTGCTCTAGGCACTGCTTTCAAGTCTTCTCCTTTTGGTGGTTCCTCTCACGCCAAGGGCATTGTTCTCGAGAAGGTTGGTGTTGAAGCCAAGCAGCCCAACTCCGCTATTCGAAAGTGCGTTCGCGTTCAGTTGATCAAGAATGGCAAGAAGGTCACAGCTTTCGGTACGTCTACAAAGCACAGCATAACCCCCGAGGCCTTCCTTTGCGACTATCATTCTAACGCACATATCTCGTAGTTCCCAACGATGGTTGCTTGAACTTCGTCGACGAAAATGACGAAGTGCTCCTGGCTGGTTTCGGTCGCAAGGGCAAGGCGAAGGGTGATATTCCCGGTGTTCGTTTCAAGGTCGTCAAGGTTTCCGGTGTCGGTCTGCTTGCCTTGTGGAAAGAGAAAAAGGAGAAGCCCCGTTCCTAAATCTGGAGCGCAGTGGAAGAAAAAATTGTCCTATTTCGGCATGAGGAGTCCTATCGGCGTGCTCACATTGGCATTTAAGGTTGGGAAATGTATCACGGGAGACTATTGGATTTAGACTCAAAGTCTTCAGAACATGAACTATGAATGTTTCATATACAACTGCCGTGCGATCCAGCCGTCGAGCTTCTGAGGTGGTTATTATTATACTGATATACACTGCTTATGATACAGTTAAACTTGCGTGGACTTGACTTTTGTTAGCGTCGAATTGCGCAGACGAATGAGGTAGTCAACAGCTAGACCTGTGCTGATGACACCGCCAGTTATCCAACAGCCATTAACAAACCACCACCAGCAATTCTGAACACTTTTCAGATTGACACGTTTGATCATGATACCCAGAGCAAGAGCTGCGCCGCCACAGCTACCGACGAAAAATGCAGGTCCAGCTCCTGAAACAGCTCCTGCAGTAGCGAGAAGCCCAATTTGAGCTGCAGCAAGCCCCGTCAGGACTTTTTTCGTATCGGCATCATGCTTTAGCGCAATACTCTTGATTCCAGCTTTAGCATCGTCCTTAATATCCATATGCGCATATATCATGTCGTAAAGAACGGTCCAGGCAATGTTGGACGTATACAGGCAGGCGGCGGCAGTCAAAGCGGCGCCATTTGATAACAAGTCGATACCAAGGGCGGGAAATCCCATTATGGCGCCCCACGAGAATGTCAATCCCAGTACAAATTGAGGATAATAAGTGACTCTCTTCGCTAAAGGATAGCTGGCGACAAACAGCAGGCTGGGAATGCCGTAGTAGAGGCACGGAATTGGGAATTGAACCAGTATCCCCAGTCCAGCCAGTAACTGAAAACCGGTGAATACCAGGCCGTTGAAGGGTGTTACTGCCTTCCGTGCAATTGGCCGTAATCGCGTTCGTGTAACATGCGGATCAAGATTTCGATCCCAAAGGTCATTAATTGTACAGCCGGCGCCGCGCATTATTAAAGCTCCAGAGAAGAAAAGGATCGACGTTCCAACGACGGATGTAATTGATGCCATGGGTTCCGCCATAGGCGCCGCCAGAAGAGTCGAGAAGATGCAAGGGAAAAATAGGTAATAAGTTCCTGTGGGCTTATCGATTCGTATTAGCTCTGCATAAGGAACCCATTTCGCAGGTAGCTTGGAAAGTATGCCGGTTTTTGGCGCTTGATATGCCGGCCGTTTTCGCTGAGCTGGACACGATGACTCGGTCACGGCCTGTAGGCGAGCATCACCCGAGTGAAACAAGACACTTTGACAAAGAATTGGTTGTGTCTGTGTCTTCCGAGTATCAAGGCAGCGCAGAGAAGAATTCGTCTTCACTATACGAGACGTACTTAGCCCCCGAGTGAGGTTGCCTTTCAGGCCTCGCTGTAGCAAGTGGAGGGTCATCTGAAGACGAATGTCAGAAACGACAGCCTGGCGGAAAGCTCAAGACGGAAACAGACCTCCAGATTCTGCGCAGCGGGCCAAGTATATGGATGTCGTCGCAATTGTGCACCCGCTTACGGCTATAAGTCAATGGTTGCGCGAAGTCCCGCTCTAGCTCTCGGTGTGGAATTTTATTTGGTAGTGCTGTGCCCTCGTGCCCAATCAGCCCCAGGTACTGTCACGTGAGAGCGCGACTGAGCGTTGCCCGCGCCCCCCCGGTTCTTATTGTTGTTCATTTCAATTGCGCCGTCTGCATTTTCATCATGACAAAAGTCAGGTTTTCAAACCAGTGCAAATCTCCGTGAAGTCCTTTTCTGCCGCGCCGACATTTCTCTTATCACTCAAAAACAAGATTATGGACCACAGAGTATATTCCTTGCGCGGACACGGCATTTGGTGATAGATCAGCTCCACTCTGTACGGACAAGATGCCAGCAGCGTCGCACCCTCAGGCGAAGTTTGATCCTATATCGCCGGATCTTGACCTGCATTCTTTGGTTGATGAGTTTCCCAACCTGAAATGGGCACAGCGAGTGTCAAGAAACCAGCTGCGCAATTTGGGGGCGCAGGAATTTGAGAAACTTGTTCTTATGCACGTCATCATTGGAGGCAAACCGCTTGTCATCGAAGGTTTCGATGCTGTTCTACCAAAGTGGCTTTTCAGCCCTGACTGGCTGGAGAAAAAATATGACAAAAAGGGTGCGATGCTAAGTGATGCTTTTTTCCTTGATAACCACCTGACTAATACCAAATCAGAAGAACGTGTTCGCGATATCGTGTCGCAAAGCGATGTCCCCATGACGACGGGTCATTATCTGCGGTCTCTGAAGCAGCTGACCAATCAATGGACTCCTACCAACTTTCGCGACGAGAGGCGACAGCGCCTCTACCTCAAAGATATCGACTGCCCACCAGAATGGCACGACGCTCTTCAGAAAATCCTTAACCCGGTTCTTTTTTATCTCAATAGCACTCTCACTCGCACTGGCGCAAAATCGCAAGTTCCAGATGAGTCATGGGAACCTGAAACAGACGCCGCCTCAGCAGGAGATCTCATGTCCAGCTTACCTCGAGAGATGCGCGCAGAAAATTTGATGTGCTATATTGGCCACGAAGGCACTTACACACCAGCGCACCGTGAGATGTGTGCTTCCCTGGGGCAGAACATCATGGTCGAGGCATCAGGTGACGAGCATGGCGAGAAATCGGGCAGCTCGATATGGTTTATGACGGAAAGCAAAGACAGAGCGGTCGTCCGCGAGTACTTTCTGTCTATGCTCGGTCATGACATTGAGATTGAGAAGCATTTCGCACAAGTCAATGCCTGGAAGAAGGCCCCGTTCGATGTCTATATTGTGGAACAGCGCGTCGGCGATCTCATTCTGATTCCTCCTCTGGCTGCTCATCAAGTATGGAACAGAGGCACAAGAACCATGAAGGTTGCATGGAATCGAACAACCGTCGAGACGCTTGAGCTGGCTTTGCAAGAAGCACTTCCTAAAGCACGGCTGGTATGTCGAGACGAGCAGTACAAAAACAAGGCCATAGTTTACTACACGCTGCAAATTTATTACCAGCGTCTGCGATTGCTCGAGGACCATACTGCAAAGACTCAGCTCGGGTTCATAGACCTGGGTCGAGATGCCATGCGAAACTTGGTCCGCGCTAGGCAATTGGCAGCAGACTTCAAGAAGCTCTTCATTCTCTTCACGCAGATACTTATCGATGAAGTGTTTGCATCCAAGGAGAAGGACGTCGAATTCGTCCCCTTTGATTCCTGTATCACATGCTCATATTGTCGCTCGAATATCTTCAATCGTTTCTTAACCTGTAGGCATTGTGTTCGCGCCCTCGTCAACGGCGATGAAGATACGTATGATGTTTGCATGGAGTGCTACGCTATGGGCCGGTCCTGCGTCTGTCTCTCGGGTCTGCAATGGTGTGAGCAGTGGTCTTGGAGTGAGCTCGTCAACAACCACGAGATTTGGCGCAAAATGGTCATTTCTAATGATGGCTTTATCGATGTCAATATTTCCCCGCAGCCACTCGAAGTTGCCAAGCAATTGAGTGGCAAGAGATCAGTCGCTCAAATTTGCCAAGAGGAATTGCGACGACGGCCCTGGAAGGATATCACCCGATCCGAGAAGGAACCGACTCCAATTGACACTGACGAAGGTGAGGACGGAGAGCAATCTAAAGCAAAGATGAAGCGAAGGAAGAAAAACAAAAAGGGCGATGTACGGCGCTGTCACGTGTGCTGTCGCAAAGAGTTTAGCTATCGCATGCAGATATGCTCGAATCCCGATTGTGTCGAAGGGTACTGCTTCGGTGTCCTTTATAGAGCATTCGACATGATGCCGCAGGAAGTCCTGCAGGACGAACACTGGATGTGTCCAAAGTGTCTAGGAATATGCAATTGCGGCCACTGTCGTCGCTCGGGAAACACCAAGCCATATACACCAAAAAATACCTCGCTGGGTCACGACACAAGGTCCGTGGCCGATGACCGAAGTGTTGAAGCTCTTGTTGATTTTCGATTACACAATTTGGCTTGGCTGAAGGCCGCAGGCGAAGAAAGTCGCGGCAGGGATACTAGGCGCATGCAGAAGCTGCGAGAACAAGCGGACACTGCTAAAGCGGAGGATTTGTCTAACGAACACCCCGAACACGACAACGCAAGCTTGGCCGGTAAAGATTCTGCTCAGGCATTATCCCAACACGATGAGCTTTCGGGGTTGCTAGATGGTGGTGGTGCTCGCCAACATGGAAACGAAATCGCGAGGTCCTCATTCACGCAACGCGACGACATTCGACATGGAGTTGAGTCATCATCGCTCTCGGCCCCTTGGCTCAACGGAGACCAAGCTGCAAATGGGCTGAATGGAGATTATTCGTCTTATCCTGATCCTCCGGTCTTCGCAGCCCAAAGGATTGGTATGGGTTACTACGAACAAGACGACACCCCAGATAAAATTCTTTTTGACCCATATCAAGCCCCAACCGCTGAAGATCTGAGAGAAGATGAATCAGACATACCGGAATTCGTCAAGAAATCAATCCGCAGCGCAAAGAGGAAGGCGAAGAAGGACAATGAAGATCCAGACTTCATAATAAAGAGCCATCACCGGAAAAGGCCACGGTCTCAACGAGACCCCGACTATCCCGACAGCATGGACCCTGCCTTGTTCAATGAAGCTCCTGCTACTTTTGGACAGGAAATAGCGCAAGAAGTTGAAGACTCAGATGCGGAAAAAAGTACCTCTGCGCACAAGGGCGATGCAGAGGTCAAAGTAAATGAGCCTCTTCTTAGGCATGCAAAGCCTAAGGCATCCTATGTTGAAGTGGAAGATGTAGATATTGAAGGGTTAAACGACAATGAGCAAGCCAACACGCCGCCAGCTCGCGAAGCAGCCAAGGCAACACCCGAGCCAGTAAAAGAGGGTGCCCCTAAGCCAGCAGTTGACGAAGTTCTTGACCTAGCAGTTGATGGTGAAGTTCTGGAGCCAAAGGAGTTGGAAGCCCAGGTGCACCTTTCACCTTTCAGTGGCGTTTCCGCAAAAGCAAAGCGGCGTGGGCGACCGCCAGCACATTTGAAGCGGCCCTCTGCGGCAAGCTGTGAAGTGCGTTCTACTCCGGAGGAGAACGCAGAAGAGACAACTCCCAGCAACGATGCACGGCGACGCGGCCCAGGTCGGCCCAGAAAGTCCGTATCCGACACGGGCGCTTCGAAACGACTGAGAAACCAAGATGACGAGCGGGCACTGAGAGGCAACAAGCCACGCAGGGGTCGACCTCCTACCTCTAAGGACTCCAAATTACAAAGTATGAAGCGGGCTGCCGCTGCAAGTCAACAGTTCATGTCTTTAAAGGAGCGTATGGCACTCCGTGGGAAGGCAGTCAAGATTGCAAAGCGAGGTCAAGGATCTTCACCCGCACTCAGCGCATCGCAGCCGGATTTCGTACCGAAAGCGACAGGCGTGACTGTGCAGCTGCCTAGCTTCACTCCAGTAAATAGGCCGTCAATCTCCAATCAGGCCTCGCAGCGTAAGGATGCAAATGTCAGCAGTGCTACTATGCGAAAGCGCGGAATCTCTGTCGATACGCCAGAAACAGGCGGGTCAGGAAGCGTCTCGGGCTCCAGTGATGATGATGATATTCCTGCAAGAATTAATGGCACACAACGTGTGCCTAGGTCGAATTTTGTGGCGATTAGAGGGCGCGGGCGGCCCAGAGGACGACCGAGCTTGCGCTCCGGTGGGCGAGGACGCGGCTGAGAGCAACAAGCAGAAACGGGGAACTCGAAACTTATAATTTGAATCACTATTTAATGATTCATTCTCACGGCGCCGCCACCCGGCTTCAGTGTATCGTCACTAGCTAGGTAAAATAAGCCCACGGTGATAACTTTACAGGAATGATGCCCATTTCATAGGCTTGTAGAAATCAGTTATGTCGGCGATAGTCTAGTTTTCATTTATCCCGCTACCATGATATTTTCTATTTCCCTGACGTACAGGTGGCTTGTAGTGGCGCACAAGTGTCAGCGAGCCGCATCAACTGTGCCGCCCACGTGCGACGATAAGTTAGGTAGTTGACCAGTCTGCACCAATGTCGCGCCAATCGCCCGCTAAGGGTCAACGTAACCAAAACACGTGGTATCGATTGAGGCTCGACGGACCCGAATTCTTGCATGTTTTTACGTTGGTGATTCGCATCACTTCTCATCAAGTAGCCCTGTGTCGTTGGGCGTACAGCAAGCACTACCTCGCATCGTGCGAGCATCGATACAGAATAGCCACTGTATCTCGACAAAACAGAACACATAAGAAAGCATCGTCTCCTCATGGCTCCATCACTCGGCTCTTCTGTCGCTGTAGCCTTGAGCTATTTTCTGGGCTGCGGCACGCCGCTTCACAGTGTATGGGCAGCAGAAGTCGATGCCAAATGGTATGCTCCTAGCAAGAATCAAGTCAACGATTTAGAGACAGTACCTACCGCAACTGGCGTGTATGGCTTCATATTCAACTCCTCCCAGACCCCAGACAATGATTACGGAGTTTACAATTGGTGCAATATGCCTCATGTTCGCCGCACAGAGTATGTGAGGCCAAGCGCAGAGTATGAGCTGAAATATGTCGAGCTGGTAAGCTGCTCTCAGGTCCATGTCTCCTTTGTTCGACATTTTGACTCTCTCAGATCCATCGCCACCATAAGCGTACGCCGTATTCATCTAATGCTTTCCCTGAGGAGTCATACCACTGGAATTGTGATGATTCCATGCTCCATTACTACGGACAGCCCGTCTCTGGCCTGAATGCCGACAGGATTTACCAGCAGGGTTATATATCTTCCGTCAATCCTTTCGTACCGTCAGGATGGATTGGTACCTGCAAGTTCCCTCAAATCACCGCGGAAGGTCTTGTGGACTCATGGCAGCATGGAGCTGACTTGTACGCTGTTTATCACGATCTTCTTGGATTTCTACCACCCAGAGGCTCTTCCAGTCTTCCGCCATCTGTCAAATACCGCGTCACCAACAATCTCATTACTAGTCAGGTTGTTGGTATGGTGATCAATGCGATGTGGCACATTACTGAGCCTGTACCAATCCTAGTGCAGGCCCAGGGTATCGACAGCTTGGAGCCGCAGTATCAGTGCAAAGCTACGAGCGATTTGTTCAGCACTATCCAATCCAAGTCCAATCCAAAGTGGCGTCAGCACTTGGATCTCAGCGCAGATCTCTTTCGTACTCTCGACGGCATTTCTGGTGTTCCGCCCTCGGATGGCGACTTCCACAAGTCCTTTGACGCCTACTATGACAACTTGTCCGCTCGCCAGTGCCATGCAAAGCCCCTACCGTGCAAAATCCTGAATGGCCGCAATAACACAGACTGTGTGTCTCAGCAGCTCGCAGATGCAGTCTATCGTTGGGGCAATTGGGAGTACAGTCAGATATACCGTGACAACTACTCGTCTCTTGACGCAAGCTCTGGATCCTTTGGCGTATGGATCGCGGAACTGGCAGCGAACATTCGCGATGTGATCGCAGGTAAGAGTAGCACTATATATTACCATAATGTTGCCCATGATGGATCTGTGTCCCGTCTTTTGTCTGTTTTGCAGATCGATGAAATGGTCTGGCCTGGGATGGGATCCGAGGTTGTCTTCGAGATTTACCGGAAAAAGCAGCAATCGGCTCCCACGCCGATAGCGACCGCAGTCGCACCTCAATGCAATCACGATAATTGTTTGCGATACATGATACGCCAATCAGCGACCGCTTCATCCTACTGTTATCAGCTAGCGACCGCAGCCGTTTCATGGCCGTCACAATGTGGCGGCAGTGAGTCTCGTGTCGCATCAGCTTGTTCATGTCTGGATCGTCCCTCCTCAACTTTACCCTCCTCTCCTACTAGCACAGATGGACTTTCTGCAAATTACTACGTGCGCGTGCTTTTTGGAGGGCAGATCATGCGTTCATCTACACCTGCACTCGGATTCATGGATATGATCCCGATTGAACAGCTGCTATCATATTTTGAAGGCTTGATCGGTCGAAATGCCAGCAAGATCAAGGCCAAATGCAGCGGCAACTAGGACGTGCCCTTGTATAAAGAGCTGCTACATTACCGCGCAGCAGAAGATTACGATATTTAGCTATCTTCTGTAATCCAATCAACTTATCAAATCAATCAGGTATCTTGAGCTTCTCAGCTAATTCTTGCCAGCGATTGAACCGCTGGGGGTCCAGCCTCTTTATGCTCGCCACCCAGCCTACAAGCTCCTTCGATTGCTCCACACCCAATGGCTCATTACGAAGTTTGTAAGTAAGCAGCGTGTACTCGAGTAGCATTTCGAAGATCCACTTGACATCATGATAGTCCTCCAGGAGGTCTTTAATAAAGTCAACTTGGCGACTTATCAGTTTGACTCGATCATCGACGACCATCTCAGGTACGATGGCCAGATTTGCAGGTTGCTCAGCGACATTGAAGATGAGATACTGGTGGTAGTACCACAATGATTGATCTTCTGGGCCGACATTCAAACCACGATCTATCATGGAAAACTCTAAGGATCAAATTAGCATGCGGCTCTGGAGCTGATACGGTATACAGTTCACTTGTCACTTGCCTTCATCAAGGAATGCTCTACGCAGCGAATCATTTGCATTGCGCTCCACAAGAAGCCTCGGTATCAACTGGGCACGGTTGTGCCATGCTGAGAAATTCGACAAGTTGAGATTTACCATTTTTGTCGTGTAAGCGAATTCCGATTCGACCATACTCTGGCCGTCAAGCTCGCTGGACTCCAAATGAGATACAACGTAACGCCGATACGCCCAGGCATGGTAGTTACGCTGGTCCCGACTCAGCATCTTGCTGACCAGCCCAAGTTCCCCTTGCCAAATCGATTTGACTGACTCAACGGGTAGCAAAAGCGTAGCCTGTTCCAATGTCCACATTCTATAGTTCCATATCCAGTAGCACTTTGGAAGGGCGATCAATAGCGGCAGAGTAAATATTAGCTCGTCTCCAATGATTTTGGAGGATTGATTAGTTCCTTCTTCAGTCCCGCGTTCCTTATTGCGGCCTGGAGCGGTAGTATGTTGGCTTGCGGTAGGTCGGTGTTGTTTCGGTTCAGCTCCGCTAGAGTCAGTAGGTCGTAGAGACCGCGACGAGCATATGGGCTCTTTGCTGTTTTTAGGATACTCCGAAGCTCCTGGTTGTGGCGACTTCCGACTCTGCTTCATCAATAGCCCAGACATGAGGCAACGTCGCCTCGTGTTCCACACAGTATAATATTCGGGGTTAATGCGCAGAAGCTTCGTGGTCAGTTCCAAGGTCGCTAAATCAAACTGTGATTTCGAAGTCTGATGAGACATACTTGTCAGTCAACTTCTCATTCTCGTGATGCAGGCAGACGCGAGGCAAATGGTCAGTATCACCTGAGCGCGTAACTGGCTGTCGAGAGCTCTGTATTTTTCGATATTCTCACAGTCTTTCTTCAGCTGGTCGGGACTTCGGTCGCGCTCGGTTCTAGGTACGCCATGCTGTGTGTTGAATGTAAGCAGAAGGTCCACCAAAAAAAATTCAGCATGTGTATAACGCATACACTCGACATGTTTCGCGTATTAATTTGCGGTTGCAGCAGTCTCAAGTGCAAGAACCGGTAGCTTGTCGAGGAAGGCTCCTTGGGGTTCAACCTCATCAGTGATCACCTTAGTAACTAGGTAGGTGGCTGGTGGGGTACCTACAGTGGGGTTCCAAAAGTCTGTCACCATGGCGAATTTACACCTAAGCCTATCTATTTAAAGTTTATATATTATTAGTTCTAGTTAATACAGAGTCTTCTAAAAAGAGTATAATATAGATAATCACTTAATACTTATTAAAATAAACCTTTATCTATTTTTATTATAAAATAAGGCTAATATTAAATATTAAATATTAAAAATAAAAATATTTATTTATCTTTATTATAAAATAAGGCAAGTATTTAATATTAAAAAATGAAAAAATCAAAAGATCTTTTTTATAAAGGGCTTATAGTAGATTATAGTAGAAGGATATTCTTAAAAATCGTAATTATTTAGAAAATTTAGATAAATTATTTTTTATTTTGAAATATAAATATTTAAGTATTTAACTATATAATATCTTTTAGTTAAATCTTATAATTATTACTAGAAGAAATATAAAGGTATATTAGAGGTATATTTAGGTATAAATTATATCGTGGTAATAGACTTTTAGAACCCTACTGTAGGTACTTATATAGGAGGGCGGCGTTTTCATATATTTTCAAGACATGTAAGCATAGATAGGGGCTATCAGATAGGATACTAGAAATATCTAATATAATAAGGAATACTTCTAATATACTATATAATAGGCCTTATCTATACCTATATACCTTAGAAATATTTCATCTACGAAAAGCTATCAGAGGTTATATCAGAATACCCCTCTCCCGCGTAGGTAGTAGATATGTACATTGCAGTTTTAGCACGTACTAATTAGCCTACATGTACAGTGGGTGTAGGTACGTTGGTAGGGCTGGATAGCACTATGCTTCACAGTCGGCGTGCGAGGAGCAGCTCGCTTCTCTTCTTCATCATAGATCCTCTTAAGAGTGTAAAGGCGGTATTTAATGCAGACAATGTACGGATTAGGTGTGGCTACATCAGTGTGCTAGCACTTCGTACGGTGCACCATTAGGACCGATTTTTGCAAAGTTACTTTTTCGTGCTAATAAGTCCCAAGTCACCAGATTTATAAGGAGTATAGGCGACTCGTAAGAGGGCTCTTTTTATCTATATAAGATGCTTTTTCATACCCCTATTAGAAAAGGTACTTTATTAACTAGGGTTAAATTATAGCTAATTAGAGGGTTAAGTAGAGTAGTTAAAGTTATATATTTTTATAAAGAAATATAGAAAATTATAAAAAAAACTAGATTATATTACTAGTTATTATAAGTTATCTATTATTAAGAAACTTAATATTAAAGTATAAAATACTTAACTCTATAATTTATACTATATTATACTAAAATATAATATCTTTAAGTACTTATACCTTAACTAGTATAGTTATTATCAAAGTAATTTCTAAATAAATAAATAAAGAATTAATTAAACTTTATTTTTATATATTATATAATTATTAGAAAGTATAATTATAAAGATATTAATATTTAAAAATAATATATGTTAATACTTTATAATATATTATAATAATACTTATAATAATATTATAAAATAAAGATTAAGTATTATAAAATATTAAAATATAGTACTTTTTAATATTTATTTCTTATAAAGTTATTATATTTAAAAGACTTTAGTTATAAAATAATCTTTAAGGTTATTAATAATTATAAAATTATTACTATCTCTTTTTTACTAGTTTATTAATAACTTATCTTTATATATTTACTCCTTTATATATAACCCCTTTATATTCTAGTTTATCC